GAGAGTTTGACACTCGTGTTCTAGGTGCTTTTATAAAAAGGCCAAGGAGTATTTAAACGTCTGGGATAAAATTAAAACACATAGTTGATCTATTACCCATGATACATAGAGGGTATTCGGTAAGCAGGAATACTCACTGTCCTGAGGATTCTTTAAAAGTTTGTTTATGCCTTTTAAAACTAATGTATTGCTATGGTTTTAGCTTGCTTCCAAAAATCCAGTTTGTATTTGCTAAATATGTCATTATACTGATTAATCAGTTCATAGGTTAACAGGTAAACAGATTTTTGACAAATGTATTATAGAACACATTTCAGATATCATAGCAATTAATACTATGAATCATAATTGTTCCCACAGTTGGGATCCCAAATTTTTCATACTTTAATCTGATATGTTTAATAAAAAGTGAGATCTACACTCTTTCACTGTTGCCAGCACTAACATGACTACGTGTTGTAAATGTAGAGTAAGTTTTATTGAAAACAAGGTCTTCGGTAATGGATAGCGAAAAAAGCAAAATTAAGATAAAAGCCGTCAGCTGATTCCCCGACTCCTGCTGCTATAAAAACAAGAGAACAAAGCATGAACTGAATACCAATTTCAGCTTTGCCTCTTTGAAAAACAAATGGTAACTTCCAGAGGATGTATGTTCCATCGGATAACACTAAGCTGTGGATTTTATAATTAAATATTATAAACCATGTTTATAAGATTTACATTTTCATTGTTTTTAAAAGTGGAAAAAAGAATCTGGTTACAATTTTAAAAACTCTTAGCCGTTTAAAACATACCCAATTAAAAATAGTTACAAAATTAATAATTCAGTTCAAGATATCACAACGTGATTTATATTATAACACCCTTAAAATGTGATGTGTTGATGTGTGAACAGCATCCAAAAAGAAATGATGTGGTATCAAAAACATCTTCTCTTGGATCTCCTTGTAGTAGGTATGGCAGTCTCAAGAGAGCCTCACTAATATGTTAAGCTGATGAGCCGGTATATAATGATGTAGGTTCTGACATACATCTGTCTGAAGACACTCTTGCAAAACACTAGATGTAAACACTCCTGACTCTGTCCTTCTATTGTAGGAGGAATAAAATTCAGCTAATATATATATTGCTAAGCAAACCACAAAATCAATTGAAGATTTGAACGTAACTCACTTATAACTTATTTGTGTTTATTTTATAACACAGTTCCTTATTTAGGTACTAAGAGAAAAACCAGGAACTTGTTAAATGACAGTTCTGATTTTCTTCTTTCTGGTGGGGAGGATAAGTGTGAGGTGGCGGGCATCTTCTTGTTAACTCATAATACTGAACTAAGACATAATGCTAATTGCCAAGTAAACATGTACATGTTCGATCCTAGGTAGAGGCTAATATTTGGAATAGACTCTCCTGCTTGAGCAGGGAGTTGGACTAGATGACCTCCAAGGTCCCTGCCAAATCTGTTGTTCTGTGTTCTATGTGAAATCTGTTTGCATGCATAAATCCTGAGCAAGAATCAGGAAGAAAGGGTCAGAATGTGATTTGAGAATGTCTATTTATGTAATAGGGTGAGGTCATAGAAATAAATCCTTGTAGAATTAGGTACTATTTTCCAATGGCAAGGTTGTTCCACAGCTCTAATACTGCTTGCTTTGCAGATAGAAATGAGTGTAGAAGGCTAGAGCTTCGGCTATTATCATGAGCTAGTTTTTCTGCTTATTGAAAATTTTTCCCCATGGAAAATTCTGTTTCATAACTGAAGTTTGAAGTGAATGTTGACCTGACCACATATGAAAGGCATATTACAAGTTATCCATTTTTTATTCAATGCTGTATAGGTCCAGCAGTTAATGAAAAGAATTAAGCTGCATGAAAATGGGTGTGTCTGACAGTGTGCTTTTTTCTTTTGACTGCAGGAAGAGGCATGGTATCTTATCATGCCCATAATGGCCCTATCAAGTTCCTGGTAACGGCTTCTGTGACAAGCAAGCAGAACAAAAGCAAGTCAAAATCCAGGCTGAATTGTCCTCATTTAGGCCTGAAAGAGGATGACCAAAAGGGTGTAGGACCTGAGAGGCCCAATTCTTCTCTGAACAACCCCAGTGACAGTGCCATTTGGTTGGGGGGCTCAGTTGGATCCATTGCTCAGAAAAGTGACTTATCTTCATCATCTGGGTCACTGACATTGTCTCACGGATCCAACACAACCGAACCTCGGCCAGAAGAGAGTGCTGTCTATGAGCTTTTGAAAGAAGTCTCCCCTGACCAAAGTAAAAGACATAGATCCAGAGAGGGGAAAGCAATATCCGTCTTAGTCATCTCTGGAGGACAAGGACACAGAAGGGTGAATAAGAAATGCAAGCAGCAGCGGCCAGACGAACTGGTGTCTTCAATAATGGTTTGGCAGATTCCACTGTTAAAGATCTGACAACAGGATACAATGCGATTTGTTCAATGGCAAAGTTTGCATTGGTGTTAACACCATCATGATGAATTTACGGTTTTTTATCTCAAAGCAAATTAAATATCAATGTTTGCAAAGGCCTCTTTATAAGGTTTCTTTGTCCTGAATCTATGTGAATTACCTTGTTAAAACAAGTGTCTTAGATCTAGTCTAAGAAGCCCATTTCAGAGCTACATCTAAACATATATTTCAGTCTTCAAAAGTTCTTTAGTTGAAAAAAAAGTATGATTCATTTCAAGCTATTTTTCCTCATTTTGCTATTATTTATATTCAAATATTGTGGCCAAAAATATTGAGTGAAGGGAAAGGATCAAATAGTATTTCTCTGATCAGCCTTGCTTAAATAATTATTTCTTGCAAGGCAATATCATGTACATTTTATTTCCACAAACATTTTTAAAGTAATCATTATTCCAAGATAGTCTACTAGCTTAATTCCAGAGACTATAAATAAACCTGTAATATACTTTCTCAAGTGTCAGACACAATAAACGTTTTTTTTTTTTGGTTACATACTACAGATTTATACTTGGGAGGAAAAGAGGTAGGGCTAACTTTTAATTATTAATACTTAAAAATGAATATTATAAAAAGAAATGTTAAACATTCAGAATGAAATATGTTTGACTTACTAAGTGATGTATTTTTTTTTTAATCTTTTGGTTACTCTCAGTAAGTAGAAGGGAAAATGAAACCACTGTGAAATTTAGTAGATTCAGGCAGTTGCTTGTGTTTTGGTGCTCCATTTAATTATAGTACATTCTGTTGCTGGCGGTGGAATGTGCCCCATTTATATGGCTGCTGATATATTTCGATTATCATTAGATAATAGTGAGGAAATGAAATATAAACATAAAATAAAGAGAGCCTAACATTAAAGTATATTGTTTTCATAAGATGATTATAGTTGGTCAGACAGTCAGCCAGGTGGATAGTCTGGGTTTGGCATTCTGATCCACTTATTGAGTCCTTCCCAAGGACCCAGGATAGGCTGGTGGGGTTGCTTGATAGTGTTAACAGTATCTGTTCCAAGTAAGGTTGCCTTTTGTAATAATTGATGGTAGTAATTTTGTCAATGCCAGTGGTGGTCAAGTGGTGCTACAGATGTTTTAGGATTGCACCCAGGACACTTATTACTGTTAGTTTTATCTTTGCTTTCTTTTGCTGTTGTTGTTCTATTTCTATTTGCAGATCTTTATATGTTGTGGTTTTCTCCAGTTCTTCTTCTGTTCTGCTGTTTCCAGTACTGCAATGTCCGTTATCCAGACTTTTTTGTTTTTCTTATCAACATTTGATACGTCTGGGGTATTGTGTATCAGGTGTCTATCTATTTTAATTCTAAAGTCCGTAACACTTTAGCTTCTTCATTTTTCTATTATCTTGTCTATGTTGTGGTCCCATTAGTATTTCCTTGCAAATGGCATTTTTTTGCAGATCTTCCTATACACGACTGGAACACCTGTTTTGTTATCAGTCTGTGCAATCAGCTAACTAGGTGGTCCACTGTTTATTCAGTTCCTTTGCTGGGACCACTGTCTGTTGCTGTCTTCTCAGTTCTGGCTTTATATGCATTTGTTCTTCAGTCTTGGCCTTGTGCAGGCAGAATTAGCTCCCCAGTCTCTTTCTTCAATTTTCCTGCTCTTAGCCATTGACAGGTCTTGTTATTATCTGCTTGACCTGCTATATTTTTAAATGTTCTGGCTGTGTAATACTTTGCCTTGCCGTATCTCAATTCTATGTTTCTTTTGATTTTTCTTGTAGGCCAGTTGGCTCTTTGGAATATTCAATAAGCCTTTATGGTGTACTAGCTTCATTGCATCTTCTTTATTGTTCTTCAGATATTCTTCCAGTACCATTTTTTTATCAACTGTCTGGTGTACTTGCAACATTCCACATTCACCTGTTTTCCTTGGTAAATAACGTCTGTCGCTTCCTGAATGGAGTAAATTATTATTATTTTTCTGATAATCCTATCCAGGGCTTTTAGTTCTGCTTGAATCTAGTCCAACTGTTGCAGCTCTGTATCTAATAATTTGTGCAATTGTTAATTGCCTTGTTGGTATTTCCATTACTGGGTCTGGACTTTAAGATCTTTTTTACTGCCATGATAAATCCACTTCTAACTTTCTTCTTTACTGTTCTTGATGTCAGCTTGAAGGATGCCAGGAATTTGTAATGAACTTATTCATCTAGACTCTTGATAGTATTTCCATTCATATTTCACTATTTTTGCCTTGTTGATGGTAAAGATGGCACATTTGTCTAGCCCAAACTCCACAGTAACATCTTGGGACAGAGTTGAACAGCAATTCTATTTCAGATGGTGCTTTTCCTGTTGCCCATGCAAAAGAGATGGAATAGCTTGGCAGATTTCTTTGAAGTTTGGTAACCATCGCCTGACTTATTCAGTATTGTTGACAGAGGAGTCAGTGTAACAACAAACTGAAGTGGTAATAATATCCTTGAAAATTCCTCTCTTGATATTAATCTCTTCTTCTATTTCACCATTGACCAGCAACTGTGTCTTCTATTGTGCCATGATCTTTGCTCAAAGCTTCTGATTTTCTAGTGATTCCTGTTATGTTTAGACATTTAATTATTCAGTAATGTAACAGAGTCAATTGCCTTATTGTAATAAATCCAACCTATGTTCAGCTTGGTCTTCCTTCTTGTAGTTTTCCGGAATCATCTTATCAGTTAGGAGTTAATCGTTGTTCCTTTTCTGATGGGCGGTTTTCTTTCTGCTCAGGTAGAAGGAGCTTGTTTTCAATCAGATGCTATCGAACTATATCAGCTACTATACCAGTTAGCAAGTTGTTGATAAGAAGGTAATTGGCTTGTAGCTGCCTGGTACTGTTCCTTTTTCATGAACTTTCATTGTCAGGTAAGTTTTACTAAATGTTAGCCACTCTTCAATTTTACCTCCTTGCGGTATATTGTTAAACTGCTTGGCAATGATTGGGTGTAAACCAGTCAAATGTTTTGACCAAAAACCATGCAGTTCATCTTCACTTGGTGCTGACCAATTCTTGATCTTCCTTGCCCTTTTCTTCACTATTTCTGCTGTTATTGCAAGTTCTGTTTGTTCTTATCCACCTCTTTTAGCCAAGATGCATTCTTGTATTTTTTTAGGTTGTCCCATGACCTTGCCCAGAACTGCATTGTTTCTTCTTTGCCAGATATGGCTGGTTCACTGCAGTCTCTCCACTGATGGATTGGTGGAAACATTTCTGATGTACTGAAATTGAAGATTCTGCCTGTAGTGTGAAATTTGAGCTTCGTATCTGCTGATTTTCTTAGCTGTAATTGTTGTTTGCTGATATTTCTTGATCAGGTGTTCTTTGGTCTTGTCTTTCATCTGTTCCAGCTTGTTTGCATCTGATCTTAATATGCTGTTCTTATTTTCCAACCCGATCTTCCATTTTGGTGGTGTGCTGTTTGGCTTTTTTTTTCTTTTTGTTGATTTTGCCTCCCAACATTTTCAGTTATATCTGCACCCATGCTGTAAATTAATTGGTTTGTTTGACAAAAGTGGTTGAACCTCTGGCATAGCTCTCATCCTCCTCAGAGCATGCAACACCCACAGCCCTGCAAGATAGTGACTCATTATGACTTCATTGCTCTCCAGATACATCACTGACTGTTACCAATGCATATTATTAACACTGATTTTGGTCTGAAGTCGATAAATGTACATTTGTCATATGAATACTGGCCAAAAAGAGAAAAAAAACCCAGCCCTACATCTACAGAAAGAAGATGCCATGGCCGTTTCCAAGCAATAAAGAAGGGAATTTGTACAATCAAAGCAAGTCAACATATTTCCTTTTAATAAAATTGAAAACTACATACCTACCAGGGATGCAAACGCAGGTACTATCACTGCTGTGAAAAACTTAATTGCTCGTAACCAACAGCTACAACTTCAGGAGCCATCATAATTTGTAGAACTATGTGTTGTCTTAAAACCTGGGTGTACCTGAGCCTTGCCAGAGTGTAGCTGCAGGATGAGATCATTTACCTCAAGCTTGCAAGCTTATCCATTTGGATTTCTTGAGGTTGGTATATATAATAGTGCTATATTCTGATAGGATGGAACATGAGAATTTAAACTTTAAAGGAGTTTTGCTGTACCAACTAAGAGTCTGCTTATAGGGAGTAATAGCAGAGCAATATGTTGGATCACAGGGAGTCCCAAATTCATCTTTTTTTCTTTTCTTTTTTTGAAAATTTTTATTGATTTTTAAAAACAAACATAAACAAACAAAACATAAAACAAAAAAACATAAAACATCTTTTTTGAAAGCAGCATAATCCCGGGTTACATCTCTTCGTACAGACACAAATTCAAGTTCATGCTCATTTTTATATTCCATTCCATATCTTATTACTATTCTACATTTTCTATATAGCTTCTCCCCTCTTTTAACTCTTAATTTTATTTTATTTATTTCATCTCAATTCAAATCATTATACTTATATTCTTTGTCTGTCCTGTTTCAACTGTCTACTATCTTTTCTCATTAGTTTTTTTCTTCTTCTTGAAGAAGGGGGAATTCTAGTAGGAAACTTGCATTACAAAGCTATGTTATGGCTATTTCTTTCAAGTATAATAGACTGAATTCACTGCACTTAGGGAAGATCCATTTAGATCAATGGATATTAAATGTTTGTTACCCGTGACTAAATTTGATATAGTCATACAATAATGAAGACATAAATTTGTGTATGAGAAAGCGAGAGAAGGGAGACTTATTTGTCTCTTCCAGAGGATGGAAAAAGAATAGGCAGAAAACCAATTGGCATCCACCAGCAAGTTATTGGTTTGCAATAAATTAGAAAGCACTTTTAATATGAGCAATAGATTTTTCCCTCAATTAGATGATAGAAAGCCCTGCTATCTAGTTAATCAAATGTATGTTCATATTTGTGAAGTCAAACAAATTTACAGCATAGCAGGTATAAAGGGTAATCACTACGGTCTCTTGAGTTGCTCCATAGTTCTCATAACTGTGTGTCCTTGGTTAGATGTGAGACTTTGTCATATATCTTTAAGTCAGCAGTAATGACTTAAAGTAATTTGAATTTCTAGCTCCTTAGTGCAAACTTGGGTATTCCCAGAATTCATTTCTAATCAAGAATTTCCCATAGTGAAGATACAACTTTAAGTTCTTTAAGCCATAATTTTATGGAAAAGGTGTTCAGAGTTGCAAATGCATTCTCAAGTAACAACTTCCAAATGAGTCCTTCATTGCAGAAATGGGCAGAGGTCATGAAAAAGAACTGATAATGTCTACAAAAGTTGGAAAAACATTTTTAACTTTTAGCACTTAACCATCCTAGTTTACACCCTCAAATACTTGTGGTTTAGGTTTTTGTTAAATACCGATTTGCCATTGGCTGATAAAACCTGAAACTAGTTTCACAGTTTTAGGATTTCTTTGAACTTGCCTGCACTCTAATTCAACTGTAGAAACTGAAGGGGCTTTGAGGAACAGTTTGTGATACAGCTTTCTAAGGAAAATTCCATTAAGCTCTCTGGATCCTGGTTATTGAGGGCTGCTGAGGAAGTTTCCTAACAAGACTGTTATAAAATATGTGTGCTATATTACAGAACTTTTTAAAACTCCAATAAAAATGTATATATGTATAGATTAAAATGCTAACTAGTAACCGAAGTACTGCTTTAATATTGAATACAAGCCACATTTATAGTCCACACAGAAACATATATGTGTTGCTAGGCAGATTTTTGTGTCTGATCCCATGTGAGAATAATGATATCTGGGAGGAAGACAGCCACTATGTTTCATCAAATGTTTTCTAATATCTAACAGTACATTTGTTATAACCTGAGCCATACAAATATGTATTTATGTCTAAAATAAACTCAATAAACTGTGAATAAACAAGACCTCAGAACTGTATTAGTAGCTTATTATGTTATTTGTTCAAACAACAAGGGGGAGCATGCTTGTAATATATTGGAAAAAAGTATTCAATGGAATACAACTAGGAACAAAATAAGCTTTTTAAAGTACAGTGGTGCCTGTTAGTGTCAATTCTTATAATGACGTGGAAAACATGGGTTGCTATCCATTGGTTCACACACAATGCCAAGTGTGTAAATAAACAAAGAGTTAACTTTGCCAAGTACCACGTCTGAGCAACTAGAATTTAGTTTCATCTAAGCAGATTCCTGATTTATATGCATCAGGAATCTGCTATATTGAATCTGTTTTCCAGGTCATTATAAGAATTGACATGGGACATGGTGGCTCAGTGGCTAAGACGCTGAGCTTGTTGATCAGAAAGGTCAGCAGTTTGGCGGTTCGAATCCCTAGTACCGCATAACGGAGTGAGCTCCCATTACTTGTCCCAGCTTCTGCCAACCTAGCAGGTTGAAAGCATGTAAAAATGCAAGTAGAAAAAAGGACCACTTTGGTGGGAAGGTACCAGCATTCCATGCGCCTTGGGCGTTTAGTCATTGCCAGCCACATGACACGGAGATGTCTTTGGACAGCGCTGGCCCTTCGGGTTTGTAACAGAAGAGCACTGCCTCCTAGAGCTGGAAACGACTAGCACGTATGTGTTAGGGGAAGCTTTACTTTTACCTTATAAGAATTGACACTAACAGACATCACAGAGCTTTAAAAAAACTTATAATCCACAATCTCAACAAGGGCTGGAGAGAGGATGATAATTGTCCAATACATCTGTATCCAAGATGGGGTGAGTTGAGAAGGCCTACTACAGCCTCCTTCAAGGTTGCAGGAATCACCCCTTTTCATAGTAAAATACTTTTTTAAAAAAATGCATAAACCAAACCAAAAACTGCACAGGAATAAACATGCAAAAAGCAAAGAATAAAGCAACAAACATGCTGTGAAGAGGAACATTCAGTAACACATTCTTTCTCCCCTTTTTTTGTTAACTACTACTTAAATATTTGCACTGTGTTTTGAACATTGGGGATTATTGCTTATACCTGCGTAAGGTTTCATCTGTTGTTTTTAATTAGCCACAACTCTTTTCCCCAAAAGCTTATTCCAAATGTCTAAATCGATTGCCTTGCTGTATAATGTGTCATATATAAGGAGATCCCTGTTTAAATTTACTTAAACTTCTATCATGAGCATATACTGTGTTATCAGTTTTGCCATTGCTGCAAATTCTCCAATTTTGGTTCTCCCATTTTTATATCATTGGCAAATTTTACTTTTCCAAATTTATGCTAAATTTTGAGGACTTTTGCATGACCACTACATGCGAGAAAATAGTCCTTTTTTCTTTCAGCATTTGCAACCTTATGTTATGGTTTGTCCATCTTGGACTAACTCCATCTATAAAACTTTTAATACTATTTTCCCCAAATTGTACTTTGGAATACATTTCATTGGTGTCCCCCCCCATACCTATTCCATTATTCTCATTCATTTATTTGAGATTTTACACAGGGGTGGGATGCAACCAGTGTTACTACCACTTTGGTGATTACGTTTTGCACTTTTTTACTGCTTTTTCAACCTCAGCTGTGCCACGCAAAGCTGCTGAGGTTGAAAAAACAGGAAATAAAGGTCAGGTAAGAGCCTGGGCGGGTGGCTGGGCCAAACAGCAGCAGACACAGAACCAGTTCTGTGTCTGCTACTCTTCAGAGCTACTGGTTCTATAGATCCGTGAAGAACCGGTAGCATCCCACCCCTGGTTTTATGTCCATTTGATCATGCAATATTTAATTTGTTCTGTCTCTGTGCCATATTTCAATATCAATCTTTAATACATGATCTTCATTCTGAATAAGCATTTCAAATTTAGTCATTTTTCTCAAAGTTTCGCCTTTCTTCAAGTGACTTTTTACTCTTCCAGCAATTTGTGCATACAATAACTAGTGTAAATTCCTATTTTCATTGTTGAATTTTTGATCATTTGCTTTTGCCTTCCATTTGTACACAATCATGGCTAAAATATGCCTTGATAATATTTAGAAAAGGGTGTGTCTCACATGTGTTCATCTTGTTTCTCACATGTGAATAAGACAACTTGAAAGTTGTTTGTTATGGACCTTTTTACATTCCAGAATTAAAAAGTTCTGAGGGGAGAATGATCCACTCTGGAGCCAGATAGTCCATCCTTTAAGGAAACCGTGAAAAGTGCTGGATGAGGCTGAACAGAGATGGAGAGAGGACACACACATCAGCTGCCTTGAATTTCTGATCCCAACCCCTTCTGGTCCCTGATTTTATGGCAAGGTCATGGGTGATGGTGACACAGGACATTAGTGAAGGGAATGGAATGTAACAGGTTAAGATTGTCCTTTCAAAGTCTTGGACTACTTTGAACATGGGCAAGGGAGGTCTTACTTATGTAGCCAATGATAAGGTTACACCTCAGGGATAGAGCTGAAAGAAGTTCAACCCTATAGACAATCTTTGAAGTATGATTAGATACCACATTGAGAAAGGTCTTATGGATCTTGCAATGCTGGGATGTGGGGAGAAGAAATGGGGCTTTATGCTAATAAACTGCATTAATTATTACCTCAATCCCAACCCACTTACTCTTGTGGAAAGCTAGATGGAGTGCTGGGGAGCGAAGCAAGTACAATTAGGATCCTGACTGATTTAGCTTGTTTTTGCACAGGAGCAGCCACAGGTGTTCACTATTTCAGGTGTTCACTATATGCTTTTTTCACATACTGCTAAGAGCCACTTTCCCTCTGGAGAC